GTATTTTATGTTCTTAAGAATAAATTTGAAAAAAAAAATTATTTATAACACAAGTTATTGTATATATATATATATATATATATATATATATATATATATATATATCTTTAGGATTATATATATATATATATATATATATATATATATATATATATATATATATATATATATATATAAGCAAATATATAGATATAGATCCGACAGTATGAAGAAAAATATATACGGAAAAAACAATTGGCATATTAACATTAAAACAGCATAATTGTATATAAGGATTTTTGTTTGTTTTTTCCGTATATATTTTTCTTCATATATATATATATATATATATATATATATAATGCTAAAGATTCTTGTCTCTTTAGGATTAGTTTTTCACTATGCTCTACTAAACGTATTGAGCACTCTATGTTTTATCTTAGTAACTAGCGTGTTTTTTTTTCTTTGGACGGAAATTTAAGGCACTGGACGACTCTTTTTCGTCCTGTTCTGATGTTTATAGTTCTTGCTTTTTTTTTGCCAATTTTTCCTCGGACAACATTTTTTTATATACTTGCAAATTGTGTCATCCCAGTTTTTTCTTACCAATCGAGTATAATTATTAGTATAATATATATATATATATATATATATATATATATATATATATATATGATGGACTCTCCTGTCCAGTTCGACGTATGAGGTTCCGATAACCACGAATTAATTATTTGCATGCCTATGGCGGGCATGATTTTGAAACCGGCTTGAAATTGCACAAAAGTCTACAAACAGTACAGGAGAATGTATTGAATACAAGGGCAGCAGGAACATTGTTAGCTGTCTTATTTTGCTTTCTCGTTTCAGGTAGTCGACTGCTGGTTACTTCTTAGTGCAGCTATGTCAATGTTGTACTTCTTTAGCTCCAATGCGACCAGAGCTGTTTTTCTTTCTGGTGCTGAGTTGTCCTAGAGATTTCGTACATTCCAAGTGCCAAGATATATATATATATATATATATATATATATATATATATATATATATATATATAATGTGTCTGTGTGTGTGTACGATATAACATGTTAAAACTATCTAATCCTGGTTATGACGATGAACTATATCTAGCAGCAAGCCCTCTGATCGGATGTTCCTAGGTCCACCCTGACCTGGGGTGGCAGCACCTGTTCGGGGCCTAACTTTAGGCAAACAGTGGATCCCCAAACATAACAAAACGCAATGAAAATATAAAAATATACCTTTATAGTAAAAAATACCAGCAATATATGTATATATATATACCAATAATACATATTCATGGTAAAATAACCAACAATCCATTAGTCCTTGGTATGACGATAAACTCCATCCGGTAGCAAGGCCTCTAAACGAGGGATTGGAGGTTTTGAGGAGCGTGGAACCACCTATTCATTGCTGGTGTGCCCAGGTTCATCCTGACCCGGGGTGGTAGCACCTGTTAGGGTCCCAGCTATAGGTAAATAGTTAACCCTCAAACTGGCTTCAAAATATAAAAATATATTTTACATTAAATATGCTAACAATATATTTTTTGCATAAAATGTTACCAACAATACATATTTACAATAGAATTACCAACAATATATTTTTAAAGCAAAATAACCAGCAATACATTTTATTTGTATTTGGATGCATACAATTGCGTTCAAAATATATTTAAATCAGGCGTGGCTGACCACATATGGAGAGAGAAGGGAGATCACCGCCCTCTGTGGGATCATGTTGAGATCATAGACAAGGAACACCATTAGAAAATTCGTAAACTTGAGGAATCAGCACATATGCTAGGACACAAAAATCTCCTGAGCCGACCAAGCATAGAAATAAATACAATATGGGAACCAGTAATAAGGAGTGCCAGAGAAAAGCAATGATAACAACAAAGTTGCTATATGAGCTCTGGTAGAAACATGAAATGATAACAGCAAAAATTTCAATATGAGCACTGGTAAAAATGGATCCTGAAGACATTAGGTTTATAATACCCAGAAATTCATACCCAAGGAGACATGGCACAGTGGATAAAGTCGTTGGTTAGATCCAGTGAGAGGACCCAAAGAGTGTGAATGGAGAACTTTCAGAGCGAAATTTAACAGGAGATAACTGATAACTGACGTCCATCAAAACATGGCACGTGGAACTAGAACAGTCTACACCAGTGAGCGAAATAAAGGGTTCAGTTCGACATTCCAACCACCTGAAGAAGGCCGGAGCGTACAACAACCGAAACGTTGTGACAAATATGGCGACAAAGATGAGGACAATAGTCCGAATAATGTAAATAATGAAAATATATTTAGTTGAAGCCATAAATTTGTTTTCAAAATATTTAGATTTCGGCATTAAATAACCCATAGAGGTGTTAATATGCCGCTAAACAAAATCAATCACCTAAATTAAATATATAAAATAATCAATCACTAAGACTTCCAAACACAACAGAGATAGTTTTCTAAGCTTACGAAACAAATGAGAAAAATTCGAATATTCCCGGGGCTTTTATTTTAATTATTTTAATTACAGCATTCACAAACTCATATCTTACCAAAAGTTTTCCATTGCATAAAACTTGATCCAACAATTAATAACATATTTA